GGCGGGGGGGGTCCCGGCCTCGGCCAGGTGCTGCTGGTGCTGCACCAGCGCCGCCAGCTCCTGCTGGGTCAGCACCAGGGGCAGCGTCCCCCCCGCGCCCCCCGCCCCCTCCGACACCCCCAGGGCCCCCCCCAGATCCGAGGGGCCCCCCCCGGGCTCGCCCGGCTCCAGCGGCTCCGATGTGCCTGTGGGGAGGGGGGACAGCGGGGTCAGCCCAAAATCCACACTGTGGGGTCATCGGGGTCAGCCCAAAATCCACCCTGTGGGGTCAATGGGGTCAGCCCAAAATCCACCCTGTGGGGTCAATGGGGTCAGCCCAAAATCCACCCCGTGGGGTCATCGGGGTCAGCCCAAAATCCACCCTGTGGGGTCAATGGGGTCAGCCCAAAATCCACCCCATGGGGTCATCGGGGTCAGCCCAAAATCCACCCCGCGGGGTCAATGGGGTCAGCCCAAAATCCACCCTGTGGGGTCATCGGGGTCAGCCCAAAATCCACACTGTGGGGTTATCGGGGTCAGCCCAAAATTCACCCAGTGGGGTCAATGGGGTCAGCCCAAAATTCACCCCGTGGGGTCATCGGGGTCAGCCCAAAATGCACACTGTGGGGTCAATGGGGTCAACCCAAAATTCACCCAGTGGGGTCAATGGGGTCAGCCCAAAATCCACCCTGTGGGGTCATCGGGGTCAGCCCAAAATTCACCCAGTGGGGTCAATGGGGTCAGCCCAAAATCCACCCTGTGGGGTCATCATGGCTATGGGGTCATTGTGGCCCCCACTGTGATACCCCCATAACCATGGGACCACCACCATGGGAACAAGACCCCAATGACCACCCCCAACACCCCCCAAGACCCCCCAAATACCCCCAGACTGACCCATGACCACTTGCAGCACGGCCTGGATGGCCAGGGCCTGGGCTTGGGGCCACCTCCATGGGACCACCATGACCCCCAAACCCCCCAGGACCCCCCCAGGACCCCCCAAACTCCCCCCAGACTGACCCATGACCACCTGCAGCACGGCCTGGATGGCCAGGGCCTGGGCTTGGGGCCACCTCCATGGGAACAAGACCCCAATGACCACCCCCCAAACCCCCCCTGGACCCCCTAAACCCCCCCAGGACTCCCCAGATCCCCCCAGACTGACTCATGATGGCCTGGATGGCCAGAGCCTGGGGCCACCTCCATGGGAACAAGACCCCAAACTTCCCAGGACCCCCCAGAACCCCCCAGACAGACCCATGACCACCTCCAGCACGGCCTGGATGGCCAGGGCCTCCCCCCCGGGCCACCTCCATCCCCCCCCCATGACCCCCAAACCCCCCAGGACCCCCCAGACCCCCCCAGGACCCCCCAAACCCCCCCAGACTGACCC